CCAACACACACACACACACATATTATTTACAACTCAATAATTTGATTTTAAATTAATTTATTTTTTTCAATTTTGATTATATCATAGTTATATTTTATATTTTGTACATACAATTTTATTCTTTCGTCTAATATTTTTTAAAATAAACTCAACTTTATGATTTATAATAATTAAACTTTATGATATTTTTTAAAATAAATTCAACTTTATGATATTCAATAATTTTAAATATAATTTGTATGAGATAAAACTTTATGAAATATAATAATAATTTTTATTATACTAATTACATTGTTAATTCTCTATGTATTCTTTGTTTAAGTTAAGGCATAAATATTTATAATATTTTTTTATATTATTTGATCTTCATACTTAGTTTACATTTTTTTCCACGTAAATAATTATTTATGGTATATTAATACAGATAAAATTCTATTATTTTATAAGATAATTTATAATTTTATTTTATATTTTTTACTTTAGTTTGATAAATTAATTTAAATTTTATTTTTAATGATATATATCAATTTTTTGTGTTAAATGTATAATACGGATGGCAAACTAAAAATCGTGAAAAGAGAAATAATTTGATATATCATATATGAAAAATAAATACAAACAATAAAAGTTATAAAAGTTTGAAACTAAGAAAAAAAAACATTTTATTATAATTTATGTATGAATTAAACAAGAAAAAAAAATGTAATATATGATAGTTTAGGAAAAGGAAACCTAAAATATTTATGGTAACTAATTGTATTAGAAAAAAGAAAGATATCAACATGGATTTAATATGGAAAATAAATACATTATTTTTCAACAAAAAATATTAATTTATGTCCAAGTCTGTCTCTGAAGCATGATTTGTTGCCAAATAAAATCCCGAAACGTGAAAATATGTCACTAAGTTAAACGCATTCTGCAATTATATATAGGAGAATTGATTAATTTGTGTTGAAAGTTTGAAATCCTCAACATTTAGCAACATTTAGCAAAACACAAATTCTGTTGCACTTTCAAATAGGAGCATAGTCAGAAAATTGTTTAATCCTTGGCTGCTACATAACCTGTATAGTTTGTATTTGTTAACATAAAAGAGGAAATGCAATAAGTGTGAAGAAGAAAGGAAAACCATGAAGCATCAATCAGGATTTGATATTTCTTCATGACATGACATAATGATTTTCTTGTTCATTACTCCCTAGGGTTACAAATATGGAAAGTGATATTTATATCAACCTATTCTATGATCCTACAGTTTCTATTTCTCATTCATGACCTTCTTAGCATTGCTGTCATTTGTATCTTCATGCTTTTGTCTCTTCTTTCATAAAGCTGCTCCAAGATGACATGGCAAGGACTTTAGTTGACCAGCTTGCATGCCTTGCACATGCACGGTTTTGTTTGCTTAAGTGGTTGAGGATTTTGTCCTCTTGTTCCATGTGTATAAAATAACCACATGCAGGTTTGCCATGTATGCTATCATCCCCCCTCAAGCCAAAGGAGGTTGCAGGTAACATTTGAAGAAGATTTCAAAACCGAGTGAAGGCTTGCTGAGAAAGTGGCTTAGTAAACATGTCACCCACTTGGTCTAAAGAAGGGACATCAAGAACCTTCAGTATACCTCGAGCTACCTGTTCTCGAACAAAATGAAGATCTATTTCTATATATTTTGTGCGAGCATGCAGTACTGGATTAGTAGATAGAGATATAGTGCTAAGGATTATCAACCCAGACTGTAGGAATTTGAGAGCAAGGAAAAGCAAGTTCTCTAAGAAGAGATGTAAGTCGGGTGATTTCTGCTGAAGCTTGGGCTAAGCTCCTGTACTCGGCCTGAGTGCTATATCTTGATATAGATGACTGCTTCTTTGAGCACTGTTGATAAACGGATTTGATCAACGAAAATATACACCCCTATTCTGTGAATAATCGGTGTTGGATTAATATGCATTTTTATTGATTTTTTTAGGAGATGAAGATCTCCCTTTTTCCTTATTTTTTGTGTTGTGGAAGATGAATGAATAGTGAAAATCGATCCTCCCTTCATTTTCTTCTTTCTCCTCACAATATATCTCTCTATCCAAGCCCTTTGACAAGTGGGCATTATAAAAAAATAAAAGAGACAAATAGCATATTTGCTTTAAATGTGAGGTGACATCGTGGGGCCCGATCGTGACACTTGACGGCTTCGAATGACGTCTACTTTATCGACAATTATTATGTCTACCAGAAATGGATCTTCTCGATATTCGGGTCGGGCTGACGGTATTTAATTATGCTAGGCTCGAACGTGGGCGATCTGGACTCTTGGGAACTCGGTTAAATAATCAGCTCAGATAACCTGCTATATTTATATTTATTTAATATATATCCACGTGTAGCATCTTCATTAAACGAGACCAAATTTGGTATCAACATTAGGCCCCCGACTTTGGGACATGTTCTAACCAGAACTGTTCTGGAGTCGCGTTAATTATCAAATTTGGCAGACTTTCGCTTATAATTGGTGCAATACGTAACATCGTGCCGAGATTTTCTGAATGGATGCATACCAACGTATAAAATTTGGGTGCTCTGGGAACCGTGGACGTACTATTGATTGTTTTCAGGCTTTGGCCTGATGTTGTTTAGGCTATTCGCATTTTACGCTTTTTGACGAGCTGAGTCGATGAAATGGATTGGGGCCTAAGAGGCCTAGTCGGGTAATTTGGTACCCATTTTATGTTTGGCATGCAATGTGAAGCGTTTGATTGATTTGATCTTGCGTTGACGATAACGATATGGAATTGTGTGGGCATTCGGGCCCCGTGATTTGTAATCGATGTACGCGAAGATGTTTGCCGATATGATTCGATTGACGATTTTAAGTTAACCGTATTATCGTATTCGCTGTTTTGTCGTATTGAGATGACGCGATTTTTTTTATTTTTGTGATTTGTTTTTCGTGTAAAGTGGACCTGGTCGGATTATTCGGTATCCAATCTTTAGTATTATTTTTATTTGGTTATTGATCGTTTTTATGATTGGCCTTGCTGGGCTTTTGTAGTTTTAGGGCATTTCGGTCGTACCAAATCAACTTCAGGATTTGGCGTAAGAATGAGCATTTGTCGTACCAAACCAACTTCAGGATTTGGTGTAATGATTGGGCACGTCTTCTCAGCCGGAGTCGAGGCTCTACAGCGAGAAAATACGGATGTCAGCTCAGCCGGAGTCGAGGCTCTACGGCGAGAAAATATAGACATTGACAGCTCAGCCGGAGTCGTGCTCGACGGCGAGAAAATATGGACGTTGACTCAGCCGGAGTCGAGGCTCTACTGCGAGAAAATATGGACGTCAACTCAGCTGGAGTCGAGGCTCTACGGCGAGGAAATATGGACGTCGGCTCAGCCGGAGTCGTGCTCGACGGTGAGAAAATATGGACGTCGGCTCTGCCGGAGTCGAAGCTCTACGGCGAGGAAATATGGACGTCGGCTCAGTCGGAGTCGAGGCTCTACGGCGAGAAAATATGGACGTCAGCTCTGCTGGAGTCGAAGCTCTACGGCGAGGAAATATGGACATCAGCTGAGCCGGAGTCGTGCTCGACGGCGTCAAAATATGGACGTCGACTCAGCCGGAGTCGAGGCTCTACGGCGAGAAAATATGGACGTCGGCTCTGCCAGAGTCGAAGCTCTACGACGATGTCAGCTCAGCCTGAGTCGTGCTCGATGGCGAGAAAATATGGACGTCGACTCAGCCGTAGTCGAGGCTCTACGGCGAGAAAATATGGACGTCGGCTCTGCCGGAGTCGAAGCTCTACGGCGACGTCGGCTCAACCAGAGTCGTGCTCGACGGCGAGAAAATATGGACGTCGAATCAGCCGGATTCGAGGCTCTACGGCGAGGAAATATGGACGTCGGCACAGCCGGAGTAGAAGCTCTACAGCGATGTCGGATCAGTCGGAGTCGTGCTCGACGGCGAGAAAATATGGACATCGGCTCTGCCGGAGTCGAAGATCTACGGCGACGTCGGCTCTGCCAGAGTCGTGCTCGACGTAGAGAAAATATGGACGACGACTCAGCCGAAGTCGAGGCTCTACGGCGATGAAATATGGACGTCGCAGATAGGCGATCGATCACGGCGTGAATGAATAAGTCGTGCTAGCTCCCAGCATAGATAAGTGACTTCGGCTCTGGCGTAGATAAATGGATTTGGCCCCATCGCATG